TGTTACCAGAGGGTAAGGAGGGAGGGGTGTTGTAGATGAGGGTAAAAGGGATCAAATACATGGTGATGGAAGAACTGACTCTGGGTAATGAACACACAACGTGATATAAAGATGATGTATTACAGAATTGTACATTTGAAACCTATGTAATTTTACTAACCATTGTTGCCCTAATAAATTTAATAATACTAAAAAAGAGATGGCAGTATGAACAAAGGTCTGGACAGAGCCGTTAGAATATGTTTGGATTGAGGATTCCTGCAGTATATGATAATAGACTAAGAATGGGATGAGGCAGATCCTCAGGGCTTCTGATTGGTAATTTGAAATACAGGAACGGATCTAATATAATTAAGTCTTTAGGGGATTATTCTTGAAGTTTTCCAAAGTTTTAAACATCTCTTCCCTGAAGCAATTTAAAGTTATGGCTTAGCAAATTGCATAAGTCCCTGAGAGCAAGAAATATTTAAATGGCCTTCCTGAGCCTGGAGAAGCTTCTTTGGAGAATTTCCTGGACCTTCACAATGGGGCAGTATTTCCACCTGGGCTTGAAGCACAAATGAAATCTACTATATTCTCAAATACTCATTTTCTTCTCACTTTTAAACTAGCAGAACCAAAATGCACTCCCTTTGCAATCAATCACATTTAGTTGTAATGTATAGAAGGTTTTAAAACAATTTTGAAATAGTACCTTTGCCATCAATGTTTTCCAGACAAGAAGTCCTGTGCCACTATGCCTCCTCTGTGGTAATACCTTCAGAAATGCAACCTCATGGAAAATTTTATACGAAAGGCTGCAAATAGAAGATCAAGGCGAAACAATCTGTTATATGTGGCAACCTAGGAGGCAAGTCGACCGTCTACTTAGAGGTAATTTGCTGAAAACACACTAATAACACAAACCCAAGGGGATGTCAGTCCAATGAACTGAGTTGAATAAGCCATGTGTTTTGGGGTAGGAAATTTCTTACCAGAGAGAGTCTACAGAAAATAGGAATAAAAAAAAATCTAAGAGGAGTTTCTTGGCTATAGTGAGAAAAATGAAGAAAAAAGGAAAAAAAAATATAACCAAAAGAGTAACTTGAAACCCCAAATAATTTGAATATCCAAAAAAGATGGATATTTATGTCTAGGATTTATTTTCCTGGGAATAAAGTTTCACTGAGTAAGAATATAATTTCCTGGTCCTTGGTTCAGTACAAGTGCCTACAGGCCTAATGGTGCCATTTCTCATGTTCCAACGAGGTTGCCACTATATAATAGGCTGCAGATTTGCATCCTTGACCCAGAATGTAGAGTAGGCTGCTGTCACCAAAGTTTTGATTCTGTACCAGTTTACCTCACAGCACTAATTCAGTTCTCTGTGGTTCAGTTTAGCGAATGTTTGTCCAGTGCTAATCATGAGCAGAAAGACAGCCCCTGTCCTGGAACCTCTCACTGAGGATGCTGTTTGGAAAACTTTATTACTTGTTCTTGAATACATCTTTTGATCTGCGTAAAAAGGAAATGAAGGGGAACAACGAGTTCTTAGCTAACAAGAGAGAATTTTGACTTTCATCGTTCTGTTTGCATGAGTATTTTGGGAATTATTTTGAACACTTTTAATTTTCTTTTGTTGTTGGTAGTGTATTTCTATGGTAATTTTAGATATATTATTTGACACACACACACATACACACACACACAACTTTTAGATGAATGAATAGAAATAGACTTTTTAAAACATAATATCAACTTGTGAGTTCCTTGTTTTAAATGCCATTGGGCTTTGCAACAGTGGCATAATACTCTTCATTACAAAGTGAGTTGAGTTTGGTATAATATGCATCTGTGTCATACCATGGATGTGATGAAAATTGGTTGGGTAACAAGAGTCCAGATGCCTGAACAGATCTGATAATAAAAATTTAAAGGTACTCTTATAGGAACATGAAACTGGGGGCAAAAATGTAAAAGACCTTGAAAAAAGAACAAGTCAATGACAGATGTAGGAAACCAAAATAGTGCTTACCTTATGCTAGATGTTTTACATGCATTATTTTTGTTTATTCTCCCAAAGAACTAGGCTATTAAAATCCCCTCTTCTAGGTAAGGATAGTGAGAAGTTATGTAAATTGCCTAAGGCCACTTAGCTAGTTACTGGCCCTGGAAGCAGAGGGGACATGGACGAGGGACCCTAGCCCTGAGGTCACTGCTGGCCATAGACAGGGGTGATCCATATGAAACCACATACAGTGTTTCCATGTGTTCTGCACAAAGCCAGAGAGGTCTGTCATTAATCCAATCCACTGATATGATAAAAGGCTTTCAGTGAGGACTGAAGCTCTGGCTTTTAGAGGGTACAGAGCCCCAGGCAGGGAAGGGTTGGGAAGAAGAAAAGCTGGGAAACAGAGGTGAAGTCCCCTGTAGCGGTTTCTGCAGCACAGATCTGCCCCAGGCCCTCTTGTTGGGTGGTGCTTGGAGCTTCATCCTGTCCACGCTGAAAGCCACCTCAGTGCATGTTTCCCTCCAAACTTGATAGCTGCCAACTGGTCTCTGTGGTTGGGGCTGTGGAGAGTATAGTTGTGTTTGTGGTAGTGTAATGTTTTTAACATCCTGTGACTTCATGCTGGAAGTTTTGTATTGTTTATGGAAACTTTCTATATAAACATTAGCTCCAAAGCACATTTGCAAGTCAGTAAAAATCTCAGTTTCATTAAAAAAAATGCATGTTCTTTTTAGTAACAAAGTGAGCTCGCAGAGTGAAACTGCTCCCCAGTTATCATTTACTGGGGAATTGGGATTTGGGTGGCTAGCATTAAGGAGGTGAATCTCTGGGACGCAACGTAAAAGAAGCATGTATCTTTAGGGCATAAAAGAATCCCAAAGTATGAAAGGTAGAATTGATTGAAATAAAGACAAAATGGATGAAAGGGAAAGTACTCTAATAATGGCCAAAGGCAAATATAGGTAATTAGAAGCTAGTTGAAATACATCCAAGTTATTCAGTTTAGGCCTAAAATTTCTGCCAATTTTTCTGAATAAGGAAAAATAGTCTACATGTTAAGTGCCTATTTGTTTTGTGAATGACTTAGAGCACTTTAAGTGAATCCTGTGTCCATGAACAAGATGTGTGTGTGTGTGTGTGTGTGTGTGTGTGTGTGTGTGTGTGTGTGTGTGTGTGTGTGTGGCGGGGGTGGGGTGGAGTCAGTTGGGGAGGCACAATTTCTGAGGTCTTTGAATGCAAAACACCCTTTCTGATCCCTGGGTGATGGCCGTAGATATTTCTCTGAGGAATCACCCAAGGTGATAGCCTTTCTTTTAATCGGATTTAAGCAGCATCTCATTAAAATGGTAACTAAAGGTGTTTGCATTAGGAGAATGAGAAGACAAGTCACAGCCTTGTAGACAGTATATGTGTCATATATTCCATAAATGATTCATAGCTAGATTATATAAAGAACTCTCAAAATGCAACAATAAGAAAACAAACAACCCAATTAAAAATGAGCAAAAGACGTGAAAGACAATTAAAGAGAATATGAAACTGGCAAAAACAAACAAACAATAGTCATTAGAGAAATGCAAATTAAAATTATGATGAAATATCACTGCATGCCTATTAGAATGTGTAAAAAATATATATGCTGAAAATGTCAAGTGTTGATGAAGATGAGAAGCACCTAGAACTCTCATACATTTCTGGTTGGAATGCAAAAATGATAGAGCCACTCAGGAAAACCGTGTGGCAGTTTCTTATAAACTTAAATATGCGTGTCTCATATTATCCAGTCTGCCACTCCTGGATATTTACCCTACAAAAATGTTACCCTACAAAAAAGAAAAAAAATCTATGTTCACACAAAAATCTGGGCATAAATATTTATAGCAACTCTATTTAGAATTGCCCCAAACTGGAAACAACCCATGTGGTTTTCCACAGGTGACGAGTCATACAGTCATACAATGGGATACTACTCACTGATAACAACTTGGGTGAATCTCAGGGGCTTTGTGAAGGAAGCCAGACACCAATGGCTCATGTATTTCTGTTTCTGTGACATTCTGGACAATGTAACACTGGGGGGATAAAAAATATTAGTCTTAGCGAGGATTTATGAGTGGATGAGAGGGGTGGTTATAAAGGGATAGCACAAGGGCGTTTTTAGGGTGAAAGAAGAGTTCTGTGTCCTGATTATGGTGATAGTTATGAGTGCATGAATCTATATACGTCTTAACATTCATAGAACTGTCCGTTAAAAGAGACAAAGTCAATTTTACTTGATGATAATTTAAAAAATAACAATTTTAAAATTACTCTATATTCACCAAAAAAGGACATTTACGTTTTAACAAAAAAGACTTCCGATTATTGGACTTCATATGAATCACATCCGTTTTTTAGACAATCGGGGAGTCAACAGACACTGGCTGGGTTTATTGTTGACCATGCTCCTATCATGTTGACACATTTCTTGCAGTATTGTAATATGCAGTGGGTTACTGTTGAATTTCCCTGACCTGGGAGCTAGGTGCCTTAACAAGTTAACTAACCCAATCTCTGATATAATGTATTCCTTATTGCTTTTATACAAGAGTCCTTAAAAAACAAACAAGCAGATAATTATGGAAGAGAAGCAGGCTTGAGTTTGAGCTTAGGTTTCGCTACATATTAATCATATGACTTTAGGCTACACTCTCTTAGTTTAACTTAGATAAATTCCTTATCTTTAAAGTGATTAATTTTAAAATGTAGGGTTTAAATGAGGTAATGTGTGAATAAAAACCTAACAAAGTTGCTGGTCCAGCAAGCGCTTCCACCTCATAGTTCTCTTCCTGTGTTGTTTATTTCTTCACTCCCTTACCTTTTTTCTCTTCTTTCCCTTCCCTGTTTTCTTTCTTCCTTCTTTTCATTGGGTTCACAGCAAACTTTAATATGTGTGTATTGGTGAACTTGGACTTACCATAGTAAAGAAATTATTATTATTATTATTTGTAAATTATTTGAATATTTACAGGTAAAAGAGAGAAATTATGGAATGGGAAAACCAAACCATTCTGGTGGAATTCGTTTTAAAGGGGCTTTCTGGTTACCCAAGGCTTGAGCTACTCTTTTTTGTGCTAATCTTAGTAATGTATGTGGTCATCCTTCTGGGCAATGGTACCCTTATTTCCATCAGCATCTTGGACCCCCACCTGCACACGCCCATGTACTTCTTCCTGGGGAACCTCTCCTTCCTGGACATCTGCTACACCACCACCTCCATTCCCCCCACACTGGTGAGCTTCCTCGCAGAAAGAAAGACCATCTCCTTTTCTGCCTGTGCTGTGCAGATGTTCCTTGGCTTGGCCATGGGGACAACAGAGTGCGTGCTCCTGGGCATGATGGCCTTTGACCGCTATGTGGCCATCTGCAACCCTCTGAGATATCCTGTCATCATGAGCAAGGATTCCTATGTGCCCATGGCAGCTGGGTCCTGGATCATAGGAGTTGTCAACTCTGCTGTGCAAACTGTGTTTATAGTACAGTTGCCTTTCGGTAGGAATAATGTCATCAATCATTTCTCCTGTGAAATTCTGGCTGTCATGAAATTGGCCTGTGCAGACATCTCAGGCAACGAGTTCATCATGCTTGTGGCCACGACCTTGTTCACATTGATGCCCTTGCTCTTGATTGTCATCTCTTACTCATTAATTATTGTCAACATCCTTAAGATCCGTACTTCTGAGGGGAGAAGCAAAGCCTTCTCCACCTGCTCAGCCCACCTGACTGTGGTGATCATCTTCTATGGGACCATTCTCTTCATGTACATGAAGCCTAAGTCTAAAGAGACACTTAATTCAGATGACTTGGATGCTACTGACAAACTTATATCCATGTTTTATGGGGTGATGACTCCCATGATGAATCCTTTAATCTACAGTCTCAGAAACAAGGATGTGAAGGAGGCAGTAAAACACCTACTTATAAGAAAAGTTTTTAACAAGTAAATGGGAAAGGGACAGGTAACTTTTTAAAAATCATAAGGAGGAGATCAGCTCGGTAAACTAAAGAGTCACATAGATAGGTGCTTGCTGCTGTGTTAAATGTATCTCCCAGAGCTTTCAAGCTCTAAATTATTCTTTTTTTGGTGCAATGTATAATGAAAGTAAGTAAATAAACTTCAGTATTTTAGGAGTCAATGATTATAGTTTGTTGTTGTTATTGACAAGCTTATTGTAAGGGCAAGTAAAGTGGTAGCGTAACAGGGAGAGAAATTTCCAGACAGGAAAAAAATTACACTAGTATCAAAACTTTAAAATTTTTTTGATAAAATTATTTCCCAAACCAATTTCACAAACCCTTATTTTTGTTACAAGACAGAATGAAGCCTAGTTTCAGATTTTAAAAATTCAGTTAAAATTATTCATTTTCAGTTAAAAATATTCATAGTACTGTGGTTACTAAAATAATTTCATATATTTGGAGTCTATTCAAATATGTACTAGTGATTGTCCTCTGTCTAGGTAGCTGTATACCTTAAACTTACTGGTTCTAGAATACTATTATTTTTATAACTTTTTGTTCATCTCTATGAAGTATTAAATTATTATTCTTTTTGCTTTCAATACATCTGTTGTAGTCTTCTTTCCAAAGAACTTCTGATAGATGGGATCTAAATGCTTTTAACGTTGAATCAAATTACTGATTTTAAAAGCTGCTTGAAAATTAAATGTAAATAACTTCTGTGTCAAATATTCACTGGTAAAAGTAGAGCTACATCTTTTCCTCTGTTGTTGACTCCCCTTCCATGACGTATGTTGCTGATCCAAGAGGAGCTTGTTGTTAACCTACCTTTTTAATAGATCTACCTTGTCATTAGATCTGCCGTTTAGAGGTTTTTTACATTTGATTTTTATCTGGAATTTATATTTCTTTCCTCTGTTATGGTAACCATCAGTTTTGTTTTTTTTAAAGATTTTTATTGGGGAACTGGGGGAAGGGGAACAGACAAGTTGCTGTCCTTTTGTTCTTCAGTCTAGTTGTGGAGGACTTTGCTTCACTGGCCCAAGTTGGCACCATCATTGTGCTCTTCCCGGGTGAGGCAGATCAGTTGCCGGCTTCTGGACAGCCACTCACAGCAGCTGCTGGTGTCTCCTGCTGGCTGCTGGCTACACACGGTAGCCCATGGCAACCCACTGCCACAGGGGCTGCAGCCTACGCCATTGCCAGCGACTCACTGCAGCCCAGCTCCAGGTCGGGCCGTTGTTTAGCATCTTAGCTGTGGAGGGCAGTGTCACTGGTCCTCATATCTGGGATCCAAACTGGGGCCCTCTGGCGTCCCAAGCCAGCTCTTAACCAACACGCCACTCGGCTGGCCCAACCATCAGATTTTTAAAAAGTTTATACCTTTATCATTCTATTTCTTCTTGATTGAATTTCACACTTCAAAATTTCACGTTAGATTTTAATGTTTATTTTAATATTACATCTCTTTTTTTTCTTTGCCTGCTATCATATTAGCCTCAAATATTTTTTATATAAATCAGTTTTTAAAATTTTATTTAAGTTTAAAAAATTTTTATGGGCCGGCCCAGTGGCGCGATGGATAAGAACTCGCTTGGGATGCCAGAGGGCCCCGGTTCGGATCCCACATATGAGGGCCTGTGACACTGCCCTCTACAGCTAAGATGCTGAACAACAGCTCAACCTGGAGCTGGGCTGCTGTGAGTTGCCGGCGACGGTATAGGCTGCAGCCCCTGTGGCAGTGGGTTGCCATGGGCTACCGTGTGTAGCCAGCAGCCAGCGTGAGCGGCCAGCAGCCAGCGTGAGCGGCCAGCAGCCGCAGTGAGCGGCCGTCCAGAAGCCGGCGACTGATCTGCCTCGCCAGGGAAGAGCGCAATGATGGTGCCAACTTGGGCCAGTGAAGCAGCGTCCTCCACAACTAGATTGAAGAACAAAACGACAGCAACTTGTCTGTTCCCCTTCCCCCAATTCCCCATCACTGTTCCCATTCCCCCAATTACCCAATAAAAAAAAAATCTTTAAAAATTTTTTATTCAATTTATTGGGGTGGGGTGATATTGGTTAGTAAAATTATATAGGTTTCAAGTGTACAATTCTGTAATACATCATCTATATATTGCATTGTGTGTTCACCACCCAGAGTCAGTTCTCCTTCCATCACCATATATTTGACCCCTTTATCCTCTTCTATGACCTTGCCTTCCTCTTACCCTCTGGTAATCATTAAACTGTTGTCTGTGTTTATGATTCTTTGTCGCTTTCATTTTTACTTCGATAGATGATTGGATAAAGAAGATGTGGTACATATATACAATGAACTATTACTAGGCCATAAGAAAAGATGAAATACTGCCATTTGCAACAACATGGAGGGACCTTGAGATATCATACTAAGCGACATAAGTCAGACAGAAAAAGTTGAGAAACATATAACTTCACTCATATATGGGATATAAAGCTGAAGTGTTTTTATTTTAAGTTTTATGTAGTTTATCTTATGTTTTGTTTAGAAATTTAGAAAACTATAAGGTATTAAGTTACTGGGTTTTATTTTATCTCTGTTTAGTTGCTTTCGCTTTTAAACACCAATTAAAAGCCCATGTTTTTTCATTGTTAATTATTTATTTAGATTTTAAAATAGTCCTGGTTTTATTTTAGTCTTTAAAACACTTTTTAAATTAAAACTTGTATTTTAAACTCAAAGTAGACATCCATTTTCCCCCTTACAGTTCAGAAATGAAGCAGCAGGCAGCATTATACAGAATGCCACACCACAAAGAGGGAAGTTGAATGGCTACTTTATTTCACTGTCATTCTATCTCTGTCTCCTTGAATCAGTCTTTTAGCTCTGTGAGTAATTATTTTCTTAGACTGTCCCTCAAGAAATTTGAATCAACCAAAAATTAATCCTTTTTAGACCCTATGTCTAATAACAACAACAACAACAACAACAACAACAAAAATGACCTAACTGACTTCATGGAATGGTGTCCTTTCTGAAACTATTAATATATGACAGATAAAGTATTTTAAGATTTAGTTTCTCCAGTACATAAAGCTGTTAGAGCTGGATAAACTGAGCCAAAATTTGTATCATCCCAGAAGTTGTCAGCATATTTAAGGAAGTCATGAAAGATTTGATTAACAAAACATAGTGGAGGTTTTATATCCAGGTTCACAGCCCACTGTTACATCAAATACATTATTCCCAAGATGGAGCTCTTGGGAATTTCTTTTCTGGAAATGTTATATGTATTATTTTTGTGTTATTCATTTGCATTGCTTTCTTTCACCATGATGGTCCATGAAGCTGACTAGAAACTAGTTCAACCAGAATTAGATTAAAAAAAAAAAAAGGAAATGGAGTTGTTTCACTGATGCATGGTTTTCTGACCTTGTTGGGTTCAGTACCGGTCATTCTACATCTGTCCAGAAAGTGGAACCACCATATTGCAGATTGACCCTTCTTTAGAAAATATTTAGGGAACAGGGAGACTAGCAATGTTTGAACTTTAGTTGACTTTTTAAAGAGAGAACAATGTGCCATTCAGAGAGAAATAGAAGAATACCTGAATGGTGACTGAATGGGAATCTGTAGAGAATCCTGCTTATATAATAGCTGATCATTTCTTGTTTCAGACCCCTACTGAGGTTTCATTGCTAGTCATTTCTGCCTGTTCTTCGATGTCATAGTGTTGATGCAGTTCTTTGTCCAGTTTGTTTCATCCCATGTATGGATTTGCCTTCCCTTCAGCCCCTGAACTATAATAGCTAGCTCTGGACTTCTATTTACTAACTGAAGATTTGAGGAAGATATAAGGGAATGACAGTAGAGAAAAGGAAAAAAGAAAACCTTAGACATCAGATCTCACTGTTCCTAACTTTCTGCCATAAACTTTCATGAAGATTCCTTATCATCCAACTCTCTCCTTAGCCCTGGTCTCCTGGTATGTTAATGAGATTCACTCTGCCTCAGATTAGAATTATAATGTATATCTTAAAAGTATTATTACCCTGAGTCCCAGGGAAGCATGATATCTTCCCTGGGACTTGAGGAGATTGTTTCCTTAGCCTGACTCTATGAACTTAGGTCTTCCTTAGAAGTGATCGGATACAGGCCAAAGTTTATGTAGTTTCTGTCAGCCAGGGCACAAACAGTACTGTTTTGGGATGCTGGTAACAGAGTGTGATGCCTACTTTTTTTTTGTGGAAGATCTTATAGTTTTGAAACATGATGGCTGTAATGGTAACAACCTTGGAATGGTTACCACATGCCTCTATTTGCTCAGAACTAGTCTAGTTAACACCGGTTGCCCTGGTATAATTAGTAATAGTTCTCCCATTCATTGTCAAAAGTATCCTAGTTTGGATGATCTAATTTATGATGACCCTAAACAGTAGGGCCTATTAGAGGCAGCAGGAACATCAGATTCCAGAGAAGTGATAGGAATAGCAGATCATAACATTGTGACGACAGTGTCCTGAGGGGGACAGAATGAACACACACCATTCAGCACATGTGAGATACCCCCGGGCCTCTTCAAATTAAGTGGGTGGGTTTTGATCGAGTTGGAGATACCTGATGGAAAGTTAGGAGATGCTTTTCACTTGGAAAATATGCTACAAATTAGATGTTAAATTGTCATTGAAAAATTGTGTAATGCCCACATAATATGAATCTGTGGATTTTCTTTCAGGCAATAATTCACTAAAATGGTTATTATTTCTGCTAGTTCCTTGTTAGGCTAAAACTGCATCATCTGTTTATAAACAATTTGTTCCTTTTTTTCTTTGTTATGGAGGGAATGGCCACCAACTCATTTAAAATGATTTGAGGTAATTAAATAACAAGTGAAAGAAGGAGAGGCCAAAACAAAGCAACTCTGTATTTTCCACTGGAACATGTTAGCTTTCCCATCAGAAGATTACTCTTATTGGCTTCACCTCTTATGAGATATAATGGGAAATCTATTTTGTACTTGTAAACCTTGGCCTATTACTCATCTTTAACATTAAATATTAAAATATAATGGATCAGTACCTATAGGAAAAAGGGAACAATTTAAAAT